TTGCATCTTTCTTTCAGAGATTTTGAAAATATGAAGATAATAAATGATGACTAACATATACCATCTGGAGAGGGTGGTGGTGGTGGTGAATTTTCTTACTGAGCAATGGGGTTTCTGCTAAGCTGATCTACTTAAAATAAGAAAGCAAGTGCTTTTTGTTTTTTTTTGTTCTGAGGAAATGAAGTTCTAATGGCTTCACTGGAACACAGTGGATAAGCAGAGCCCTTGTTTTGTACCTCATGACCAATATCAAGTGGAGCTCATTAACCTTGCATCAGAAAGGCAATGTATTTTATCAGTCCTGTTGTTGCATCATACGTTCAGAAAAAGATTGCTGAGACTTGAAGATTTTGCACAATCTTAGAAAAAGTGTTAGACAGCCTTGCAGGAATCAGTTGCCTGTGAAGAAAGAAAACCTAGCTCTGTGTGGTATTATGCCAGTAAACAAATGACTATTAATCTACACAGCCACAGAATTAGATTCTTAGTTACCAGACATAGTTCTGTGCTTCATATCTTCTTTAGATGTGTGGCTGTCAGTGTTTTTTTTTTTTTTTTGGCTACTTTTGTGATACAATATAGAACTAAGTGCAATAATTGATCTTAGAAGGATGTATGTTTCTAATTTCATCTATTTCATCTATTTCATGCCATTTCTTAGACTCAAAATGGTCTTCTGTTTCTTTCAGTACAGATTTTTTTCAGGCAGTCACTCAGTCATATATTTCCTTACTTTTAGTCTGGTTGTCTTATTTCTTAGTATTCCTACTTCCATTTTTAATGAAATAAAAACTATTCACTTACTTGATTCAAAATTAGTTGAAATTAAGATGTGCAGGGATAGTTTTCTTCATTATCAAGAAAAGAAAACTGATAAATGTGCTTCATAAACTGTTAGACCTGCAGTCTTCAGTCTGTATTTTTTTAAATTCTCTTGCACCTTTAGATTTATTTTTACATAGCAACCCTAACTCTGCAAGTCTTCCAATAATATTGGTATGATAGATAATAATATCGGTAAGTGGTATGATAGATTAAACTTATTTACTCTTGAGCAATGGTTGCTTAAGCTCTGGATAGGCTAGGTAACGTGTGGCCTACCAATGAGTAGAAGTTGCAGAGGCAAAAATTGATGTCCCTAGTGACTGGCAAGAGGCTATGGAAGTGTGAGGAGGGACTGCCAGTACCTTCCTGAGGGGTGAACAGGCTGTTAACGTTGCTGTTCGTTTGAGAACATCTGTTGGCTGCCTACTTAACTAAAAACCTCAAACCAGTCTGTAATGAAAGCACAGCCTGTACTTTGATTATTGTTAACTAATGGGCCAAATCATTCATCTTGCCTCTCTGGAAGACACAAGCTGTGATGTAAAAAGATAGTGTGTGAAAGCATGAAAGAAAAAGGATGGAAAGAAAGGAGGAAGGGAGGAAAAACAAAACACTGGAAGTGAATAGACCTCCTTGGTTGTAGATGTATATCTGTGTTTCTGTTCACAAGGTTTTCAAGAAATTGTGCCTCTTGAATTGCCCAGTGGCTCTTGTTGCAAATCACCTTTCTCTTTTGCCATTGCCTCTGTTAGAAGCATCATCCCTGATTCTGTCTTGTACCCATTATGAATATACTTTCCTAGGGGCAAATTCTGTAACCAGACATATGCTTTACAACAGAGAATGAAGGTGGAATGAGGAAGAGTTGTTCTTCTGCAGAAAGGAAGGAAAGCTTTCCTGGTGTTCAGTGTTGCATAGAATGCAGGGGTTTTTACATGTTGAGTGTCTAGTGGGTGTAGGTAGTTGTACACGCCCTGAATCTAACTGTACTTTTCCCTATGACAATGTAAGAATTATTAGAATACTAGAAATTGCATAACTGTTAACTGGGAGAGGCCTCTAGAGGTTACATAGTCCTTCAGCCCCTAGCAGGATTGTTGCCAGCACTAGATCAGCTCAGCAGTGACTTTGCCTAGCTGCATCTCCAGAACTTCCTGCTTTGAAGCTGTATGTTTGCTTCCTGCTTTGAAGCTGTATGTTTGCTTTCTGCACTACGCTTCTGAAGAAGAAGTTCTTGTTAACATCCTGTGAACCTTCAAACTTGCAGCTTGTGGCTGTTTTCCCCTGTTTTACCATTTTACCACTACTACTTAGCATTTGGCTTTGCAGTCTTTCTAACACCCCTGCAAGTAGTTGTGATCTACTCTTAGCCTCTTTTTTTTTTTTATGGAGAGGAGATCCTCCTTGCTGGACAGGAATCTTTCCTTCACTGAAGCCTGCACTTCTCAACACCCTTTTTAAACTGAGAGCCAAAACCGTAGTAGTGTTGCAGCCTCACAGCACTGGGTAGAGGTGGAGAATAATTTCCTTCAATCTGCTTGCCATGCTGTTCCTGACACAGCCCAATATGGAATTTGTTCGATTTACAATGATCGCATGTTTAACTTGGTGTCCACTGTGATTTCCAGGTCTTTTCTCAGCCCCTATTGGGGTGGGATTATTTAACATGAGGTGCAGAAGTTTACATTTTTCCTTGCTGAGATTCATGTGGCTTCTGTCAAGGTTTCTTATGGTCTGACTGTTAAGTGACACATGCTGACCTTAAGCCTACCACTGGGTTTAAAAAAAAGAGCTTGTATTACATCCCATATTGTTTTAGTAAAATACTGTTTTCAGTACTGCAGGAAATAGCAATCAGTCCTGCTTCCATAAAAAATAAAATAAACAAGAACAATATTATTGGACAAGGTGAATGCTAAGTGATAGGGTGGAGTTGTTAGGTTTGAACTGTAACATTAAGATGAAATTCAAGGGTATGTGAACATTGAGCAAGTTACACCAGGACTAGGGCTGACGCCTACCCCAAATAGTAGAAGAGCATTATTAGAACATTCTTTGAAGGGGAGCAGTGAAGGACAAAGATGATTTTAAGATGGAATCTGGTAGGTTAATGGGTGGAATTAAATTATATATTTGCCCGTAATAAGAGGGACACTGGTTATGTTGACCCAAGAGGTCATCTTGGCCCAGAAGGTCTCATCCAATCCTGTGTCCTGTGTTCCCTTTATGTAAAGAAGCTGTTGAAATTTTGCATATATGAAACCTCCTATCTCTTTTGTCTCGCCTTTTCTTTTACTACTATGATTTTGATATATATTTCGCCTGTAGCAAATGCCAACCATAGTATTTTTGTCTTCCTTATGTTGTCTTACATTATTTGTCTTTCTATAGCCAAGCTGCAGACTTAGTTATATGCGGGGAGACAGAAATAGCTGTTATTTTGAAATGTGTACATGGTAGGATTTGTTTGAATTTAAGCATTTTTGCAGTATGCTTCTCAGGAATGCTGATAATTCATATTGTTGTAATCTCCGTGGTGCTTTCTAGCCAAAGAAATCTGATGGCTTTTGGTGCACAAACCATTCACATTTCTTCCGTAAGGCCACTTTAGTCATGTTATCCAATAGTTTTTTCCAGTTTATTGGTGAAAAATTAACCATGTAAATGGAAGGACCAATTTTGAAAGATGTATTGGGAAGTCTGAAGAGAAGGAGAATGCCCATCTGTTTCATCAGGCTGGAAGTTCTCATGCAAAATCTAACACAGCTGAGGAGAAGCTACCCTGGATGAAGATTTACGGCGTTTATGAAATGCTCTCAAAGCAGAGAAAAAACACAGGACTTATGGGACTGAGCTGAGCAGGAGATGAGATCCAGGAAAATCCCTGCTTTGCACTAGGAGAAAGCCTTACCTCTCATAGTGATCCCAGGGTGCTGCCTGTGGGACGTGAAGACCTGGAGAGGAGAATGTAGTTTATTGATAAGCCTCTGTTTGTTAAGTCACCAGTGTTAGGTTTATAAATGGATATATCACATACCCTATGTAAATAAATATAAATGACCTTTTCACAAGGAAAAAAAAATCTAGCTTCCCCAATTAAAGACTCTGCACATGAGAATATAAATTTTTTTGTTGAGATTCAGGAGGTTTGTCTTTTGTTTGGCTGTGTATGAAACTGCCAAGCTGTGTAACAAACAGCAAATGCGTAGTTTTGTGTGTAATGTCTGTGCTCTGTTTGAGTATATGATAACAGAAGATTGTCATTCTTCCTGAGCAGTTATAGCCCATGCTATTAATGCTGTGTGTGATAAATGAGCAATGTCATGTGTTCCTGAACAAGTTCTTAAGAAATGAATCACTCTTTTCGTGTCTTTTATTCTTGGCTGTAATATTTGCATAGCAACAGATAGCTGAATGAAGTATTAAAGTGAAGAAATTATGATTTCTGCAGGTAAAAAGAACAAATGTGTTAACTGAACTGTTTTGATAGCAGCAACTTTTACAGTTAGTCCAGTTCGAATATGCTATTACTATAGAAAGAAGCAGCCACAAAAAATATTATTCAATTACCTTGGAAAGAGATTCAATGTATAGCTCTGTTTAAAATAAGAATTTTGTTAAAATGAAGAAACTAATAACGTTTAAAATGGAAAAAGTTGCAACACTGTGAAATTAAATGAAGATTGTGTTAAATATTTTCCGACTTTTTGAATCCTTTTAGTATGAGATAACACTGTCTCAAACTCCCTTATTAGGTAGAACTGTGTGGATCCTAATTAAATAAAGGCTGATATAACAAATAGTGAAAGCAAGTAGTCTACTGTATATCTTTTAAGGGTATTTCCAGGACCATGTTCTACAGCATTTTCTCATTTTAATGAATGCAAAGAATCCTATTGACCTGGAGGGGACTATTGGCTTAAGTAAAGCTACAGTATACTTCCATGTTTGCAGAACCTGTTTCTCTCACTGAATGTGAAAACAGGAAAATCTCATGCAATTATGTAGTTATAACCTTGTCAGTACAGCTATCATTAAGTGCTATGCAATTAACCTGTAAAATTAACTATAATGAGGTGTTGTATCTCCTGATCAATGCAACTTGCTGCAAATTTTAACTAGTCAAAGAGCTGTTAAATTGTTGTCTTTAATTGTACTTTTTTTGTCTTTTACAGGAAAAAGTAGAATATGCCTTCCTGATAATTTTTACAGTTGAAACATTTTTGAAGATTATAGCATATGGATTATTATTACACCCCAACGCATATGTTAGAAATGGATGGAATTTGTTGGATTTCGTAATCGTAATAGTAGGGTAAGTCACTTATCCTTCATTATACAAAGATTTAATATCTTGAGAGTGAGGTAGATATAGGTCTGTTTGGCTAGGAGTAACAACTTAGGCTTGATTTCTGTTCCTTTGGAGTAAAAGAACTGATACAGGTGAACAACTCAGTCTTCAAAGTTTTCAGCACTATCTGTGACTGTAGGCTGTTGCACAATCAACATCACAGTAAAAGTTCCCCGGGGAATTCTGAGCTCTCCCAAAAATTTTACTTGGCTGTTGTCTTGGAGAATCTTTTCCATCTGATTTTCCTAGGTGTACAACTGATGCCCTTCCATATGATAAAGGTTGATCTGTTTAGGTCCGGATATTAATTCATTTATTCATTTATGTCTATGATGTGGTTATGTGACCTCTGTGAGAACCCATGTGTTTCAAAGTGGAGAAGAATAGTCGGGGGGGACAGAGTTAACGGAGTGAGCCCTTGACCTTTCCAAAATCTGAGGAAAATTGGACTTTTGGGTGCTGCACATCAGGCCACTGCAGAACGTGGAACAGATTCTCCATATATGACCTTGTATTTTGTGGTGTGCTTGCAAAGAAGACCTTAGTATGCAGTGTGCAATTCTTTTTTACAAATTTATAAGTTCCAACTGTATCAAGGGCTGCCTGTAATTGAAAAGGCCCAGAAATAAAAGCTTGTGCTGCTTTTAGCTCATTATATTAAGGGAAAAGTAAAAAGATGCAAACTAAAGGAATTTTTGGTAAAGCATTATTAAATTTGGGCAAGTATTGTGAATGTATGGATGCCTGTTTTTTTACAAATAGGTATTTGATTCTGAGATAGTAAATGTTATTGAAGAGGTTGCATTTGGGCCAGTTGCTTGGCATTTGGGCCATTTTAGTCCAGGACTAAAATTTGTATATAAATAGGTTCTTCATCAGGTCAAGCAATTCTCAACAGATTGGCCCCTGTGCCTGAAGGGGAAGCTTGGTGGGCAGGTGTGGAGACTATCACACATGAGCTCTAGTCTCTTGCCAGACACGCACTTGAATAGACGTCTTCCCTTTTGTCAAGTGACCATGGAGTTACAGTAACATTGGAGCAGTCTAATTAACATGACCTCTATCTTTGGCTCTGTCCTAAATACATGATAACTAAAAAATTTTCCATTAGCTTATAAAACACTCATTATTGGAGGCTAAATTTGGTTATGTCAAATGGTCACACTGAACCCATGGAAAATAGGAAGAAGAAAGGACTACATCCTACCAAGTATTGAAATATCACACTGAAGTTTAAGTCTTAGCTCAAACCCAGAGATTTTAGAATATAAACAATTATAGAAGTTGTTGTTAGTTTACCTGGAAGACAAAGTGGGCCTTTCCTAACATATCAGGCACTGACAAAAATGTGAGCAAAATTTTTGTTTGCTCTTTTAAGAAGAACATAACCCACATAAGTAAGCAAGCATTAATTCATTTAATTAATACTTAAAAGCCCAGCAAAATATTGATTTCTCATATATATCCCACAAGGAGTATAGAATCACTTCTGGATCTGTTTGACTAGTTTCATTGTGAAATTTCATTAGATATTTTAATAGCTTTGAAAGAGCTGCCATCATGTCCTATATTCAATGTAGTAGGTAAAATCTGCTTTCTCAGCAAAAAATGTAGCAGTCCAAATGCAAAAACCTTAATTATACAAAAAAAAAAAAATCTCTGCTAACAAAAGGGAAGCATATATAGAGACCTTTTTCTACAGCATCAAATTTGGCATTTAAACTTTGGTAAACTCTACAGGAAAATATATGAGTTTTGATAAAGGAGATGAATGGGTTTATACCATAATGACTTTATAGGATAGAAATAAAATGACAGAGCTGTAGACATAGCTGTGAATGTGATGTTTTCTACTGTCTTTGTCACTTCTCTCTGAATCCAGTCAGCGAATGAATTGCTTTCAGAGCAGTCTACTACTTGCCTACATGCTATGCCACAAGATTTCCGTTGATGTCTGTGAAAGAATAAGGGCCTGGTAGAGAAAGCTTTCATAGCACCTTCCTATGCCTGTAGCCCTTTAATTTTCTGAATGATGTGTGAACTGACAGGTTGAAAGCAACTTCTCTTAATTTGGGACTTGATTCAGAAGTCTGTTTAATCATGTCTACCTTTAAAGCATGAATAGTCACTCTGAAATCACTGAGGTAGCTCATTTTCTTAGAATTATGCTTCTACTAAATTATAGGGCTGAATCAGGACCTGAAATATTAAATGTCTGGATTTCTGTGGTTATAGCAGTATGTAGGCTGCTAGTGTTCATTTGAAGATCTGCAATCTTCATGGCTGGGTTTTGCTCTGGAGGAGAGTGAAGCAGAATAGGGATGGGTGACTGCTACAGGTCAGATGCTTACGGGGGGAAGAGAAAGTCTTCAATATTCTAGTTTGGGCAAAGTATGTTTCGCGTGGCCTAGCCACAGTCTAGAAAACCGTGCATCTGAAATTCAGGTCTAAACTAAAATAAATCTAATACTACTTTGTAATTCAACCACTTGCATCACTGAATTCCTCCTAGAAGTGGGAAACAAAAATAATACTCCTGATTTTTCAAGCTATCCTAATAAATGAATAGGTTATTTCAGCATTGAAGAAATACAGTATAATAAATGAATCATCTAGGAGTATTTTCACTCTCAAAGATATTATGTGTAAGAAAGAAATATCTTTTTGGTCTTGTTAAACATTGGACATTTTAATATGTTCAAGTTTTGCTGACAGTATTTAGAATATTGGTTGGCGTTGTTACTTGGAGCTAATATGTTGCACCAAAATTAAAACAGAAGGTTTCTAGTGATTATCTATTTCATGTTCTAAAGAGAAGACTAATTCTCCACACCTTACAGCTAAAACGTTTGAATAAAATGTGACAAAGTAGTTTCATTTGTTTAAAAATGGCAGATTGCATATAGAAGCAGAATACTAATTTATTGGATACTGTGTGATCATCACTCTCTGGAGGTATTAAAAACTGTTGCACATCATAACTCTTCCTGTCATGATTTAATGTGTCAATATATCTCTCAGTGTGACAGTTGAACAGCTTTTCAGAATTATCTGCAGTTTGAGTAATTTCCTAATAGCTTTGATTGCGTGGTAAATGGATGGTCATGACCTTACCTTTCATCTCGTTTTCTAGATTATTTAGTGTAATATTGGAACAATTAACCAAAGAAACAGAAGGTGGCAGCCACTCAGGTGGCAAACCTGGTGGCTTTGATGTCAAAGCCCTAAGAGCCTTTCGTGTACTGCGACCTCTCCGGCTTGTATCAGGAGTGCCCAGTAAGCTCTTTTCTATTTAATTCCATTGGAATTAATACTGTAACTGATCTGATTTATTTAACATTTATTTAACTTTCTTGTTGCAGATATTAGCAGAAATGAGATATAAAGTTGTTGGGTTGTTTTTTGTTGTTGTTGTTTTTTTTTTTTTATCTGGTTTTGTATATAAAGTGAGTTTCAAGAAGAATCATGCCTTATTTTGAGTTGAACCAAGGATTATAAACTCGTTCAGTGTACAATTTTCTTACACAGTTCAATAAACAGGGGAATACACTTCCTTTTTAGAAGCTTTATATTAAAGTAAATTACATGTTAAAATGCAAATAGACCAGAAAATAAAACTCAATTTTTTAAAATTCCAAAACCTTGCAGATCTGAAAGTGTAGGTGGTTCTAAAATAGTTTATATGTTGGTAAGTGTATGCCAAAGCACATTACACATTTCATTTCGTATTTCCTGCCCACTCCAATGCACATGAATGCCTTCTGTTTATCTCAGTAGAGCTAACAGATGAGTTGGAAACTTAAAAAGTAGAACAATATTATTTAAAGAAAGCTATTGAATTTTCTGGTAATCCTTCCTGTTTTCTTTTAATAACTTACTAATTACTGAAGCTGTTTGGGCTGAATAAGTGGTTTATGGCTTACAATTCAGCTCTTTCCAAGACATTCAAAAGAAGAATCCTAATGCTGTGTCTATTATATTATACTCTGTTACATGGCAATGATTGTGATGGTAACCATGTAGCAAAAGAACTGTGAAGAAAGAAGCAGTCTTATAAAATGTCAGAAAGGAAGTTTATTAGAATAAAAATGAGGCATATTTTGTTCTCATTGGTGCTGTGGCAGCTTCATTAATCTGAATTTTTTTTTTTTTTTTGTAAAAACAAAATTTGGCTATATAATTAAGAAGGAAAAAGAAAAATGGAGTAGTGCTGAATGTGGTGAGGGATAAAGGATGGAAAAGTTTATTCAGAGTAAAAAGGTGTTTTCCCAGGTAACTATATCTCTCTGGACCGAAAATACAGTTCTGTAATTAGCTGAGTGTACATTTGCTCAGGATTTGCCACAAAGTTTTGGTGGTGACACAGAACTTTTTAAAGGTCATGTAAAATGACCTACAGCCGCATGCTGACTACATACCCTTTCTTTCTAAGAAAACCCATAAATTCTTGTGACACGTTGCAAATACTGACTTTTATGACATAACATTTATTAACAGAGGAAATAATTAGACTTGATGCAAAATTTTTAATTCTTATGAAGTATTTTGTTGCAAGAACGCTTCATGGTTCTGAGCAGTAAAAATGTTGTAAAAAACTGGTTCACTCTGCCTGCCTGTATAATTAATTTGTAATAATGGGTAATTATAGAAAATCTGCTATGGCAAGACATAGAAATGTGGTTCATATCTTATATCCTCTTTTTTTTCTTTTAGGTTTACAAGTTGTCCTGAACTCCATTATAAAAGCCATGGTCCCCCTCCTCCATATTGCCCTTTTGGTATTGTTTGTAATCATAATCTATGCCATTATAGGATTGGAACTTTTTATTGGAAAAATGCACAAATCTTGTTTTCTAATTGATTCAGGTAAGTCATGAAACTATTGACTAAAATAAGGGATTAATTCTGTTTTCTTTGAAGCCTGTGGGATTTCAGTTTGAATTAGAACAAGGGCCAAAGCATTGAAACAGCTGTAACCCTAGTTTTCACTGTGGTTCATAGTTTTAGGAAGAGTGCATTAAATGTAAAAGCAACAACAAAAATGCAATCTAGTCAGAGACTAGAACATGCTCTGAATAGGTTTTATTTCTGAAATATGAAACCGAAATGTCAGTAGTAAAAATAGTAAGAGCGACTATCCAGAAGGGACAACTCAGTAGTTTAATCACTGCTTACTGAAAAGCTGGCTAGTCCTGTTCTAGGGAAGGTAAACCCTCCCGAGTTCACAGTGTGGCAGTGCCTTGCCTTCAAAATTGTGGCAGGGTGGTAAGAAGCGCGGTTCCAAAATGTGTAAAGAAAGAAAGAAAAAACAACTTAACACGAAGAGGTTCTAAGATTTTTTTTTTTTTTTTTTTGGTATTATTACATGCTTCTTTCCGCTACGTAATTACTAGGGCTCTTTTATACATTCATGTTTGATTAACCTATTTCAAGGTTGGAAGGCTGAAGCTCCAATGGCTTGCCTTTCTCAGCCGTTCTCTGGGTTACCTTTCCAACAGTGTTGATATTTCTGCATGTGGAGAGTTAACTCACAACAATCTGAGAACTGAAAGTTCTAATTTTTTTTTTTTTTTTTTTGTAATTTTTTAGATATACTAGTTGAAGAAGATCCAGCACCTTGTGCATTCTCAGGGAATGGACGTCAGTGTGTCATGAATGGCACTGAATGTAAGGGTGGATGGGTTGGACCAAATGGAGGCATAACCAACTTTGATAATTTTGCATTTGCAATGTTAACTGTGTTCCAGTGTATAACAATGGAAGGGTGGACTGATGTGTTATACTGGGTAAGTTCATAAATCACTGAGCTTCATTTAATATTAAAGAAACTACAATGTGCAAGTGAGAAATCAGCTATTTTACAGTATCATCGTCAGGAAATCTTGGTGAGTTTTGCAGGAGACGAGCTCAGCTGCATACTTTTTCCAGTCACAGCATCTTACCAGACTCCTCAGGCTAAAAAGACATTTTAGAAACAAATTTATTCACTGCTTATTTGAGGTTTGTGTGTGTGGTATGGTGTGGGTTCTTTTTCCCCCCTCCCCCCTTCTTTCTGTTCTGTTTGGATAAATGGAATATCACATTTCTGTCCTTTGGACTAGCATTTTTTTTTTGTGCAAGCCTATAGTTTTTAAGTATGTCTTTTCTGATTAAGCTTAAGAGCTCTCTTCTGCAGTATTTCTGCAAAATATTTCCCAATATTAACATAAAATAGAACCAAGTAAGCTCTCAACTGTCCTTGCTTGCCATAAGGACAGCAAACCATTTGTTAACCATTGAAAACCAGTAAAGAGCTGTGAGCCTGATACTGTCTCTGTAGAAGCCATAAAAGGTATTCAAAAACCTTTGTAAGTCCCCACCTTTATGGTATGGAGTGTCCACAATCTTACAACATAGGCAGCTGGACAGAGACTGGGAAACCGTTATTCATGATTTTAAAAAAGAGAATGGAGGAAAAAAACCTACAAATTTTTAAAGGAATAGGATTACCTAAGTATATAAGACATTTCTCTGCCTAACCCCATTCTAATCTGAGGACACTTCATTCTTTTCTGAATCTTTAAGCACCTAAATATCTGATGTGAGTAATTTGTTCAAGGTCAGAGGCGCTGAAAATCAATGAGAATAATCTGTACTACTTGGTACTGAGCAGTAAGTATTTACAGCAATTAGAATTATATCTGTTATAAGGTCCTAACAGTTAAAGTGTTGGAAAGTACTTGAAAACAGATTACCAGTAAGGGTCACTATTAGCAAGCTGTTAAAAATGGATGAGCTGAAGATGTGTTTTACTGGAACTATAGGTTATGTTGCTCACAGCAGCTCACATTTTGAATTTGTCTGGGCAAGAGGGACTATTTACTAATAGCACATCTGTTGTGGAGTATTGGATGCAATAAGGATGTGGTATTACCCAGTGACTGAACACTGAATTTTGTGTGCTAATTTGTGGCAAATCAAGCTGAAATATGCTGTTGCTAAAAAATATACCACCAGAGTGTAGTCTCAGATAAAATCTGTGATACTAGAGTATAGAATATGGAGTGGTTTTTAAGATAATATCAGTGTACCATAAGTACCGTAATAGAGATGGTAAACTGGAGTTCTTTTAGGATTGAAAGACTAAAAAAAATTGGTAAAGTATGAACCTCTGCTTCCACTGGCTGATATCAAAGATACAAAATTTACTCAAAAGATGCAAACCTTCCATACTAGAGTCTAAAAATAATGCATGGAGGTATATGTATATATGTATATAGGCTGTTGAATTGTTTCTCACAGTATAAGTTTATCAACTGTCTGGATTTTGCTCTCCAACTCTTCCTAATTTTCTCAAAGACTGTGTGAATGTAGAATTATGTGCTGTATATGATTTTTAGTGATGATGGCAGTTATTTTTATCCCTTCTGAGAGGAAGGTTTGCCATCATTCTCTAGAAAAAAACCCCAAGATATAATACCTTTCAAGGCAAAAGTATGCCCACATTTCAGTATCTGACAATTCCTCTGTCACCAATTTTTTCAATGAAAATTAATGTCAAAACTTCAGGAAGTTACTATATTTAAAATATTATTATTACAGAAGATACATAAACAATTTAAGCTGAGTGGCTCAGTAGTAAACATTTTTCCCCCTGAGAAATAATGAGCTAATTGGTGCATCTTAAAAAGAATCTTTATAGAGTCTCCATTGACAGCACAAAAATTAAAACAGGATACTATTGTGCTGATCAGACAAAATGCAAGGCATAATTAATTAAAAAATTAAATTCAAAACTACACACAAGTAATTTTATTTCTTTATAGTATGTTTACAAAGTAGAAGATTAGTTTCACAGGTGCACCATTTTATTACAAAGTATACTGAGATTATTAGACAGAGAAGCAAATATTTAATGACCTAATGAAATATAATTGAAGTCAGGTATTCAAGTGGATTTGAAATCTGTGTTAACTAACAATTATAGAAATTATAGATCTAGATTCTTCCTACTCGAAGGCCAAAAAATTGCCCATTTTCAAGCTGAAATTGCATACAAAGGACAAGAGGAATGGCAATGCATATATTTTACTTCTGGATTAAGATGTGGTAGATTTAGGTATTCATAGCTGAAAATTGGGAAAGATTTGTTTAGTTGCAAATTATGAAAACATCAGGAGTATACAAGACTGTAATAAAAATGTCCAGAGAAGCTAAGGAAACCATTTTAGCTATGGGCACATGGGGTTTGTGGGTTGCTTTTTACTTAGAAACCTATTGATATGAAGACTGAATGAGTTTTATACAGAACATAAATAAAACCCACAAACATTAGAAATGGAACAAAATTCTGTTTTCCATTTGGTCACTGTGTAAACAGTAAAATTAACTATATTGGCTCATCTTGCTAGCAGGTGTAATCCGAGTGGGTGAAATCCGTGCAATATTTTGTATCATGTTAAGTGGCACTCTGTTAGCAAGACCGACAGCTGAGGGTGACAGCTTCCAGTACCACTCACTAGCACAGCTTGTTAGCACCTGGTTAACAACAGTAAACTCAGCTCAAAAATTCTCCAAGTATCAGTAATTATTTTTCTCTTATACATATCTATTGTAGATTGAGGGCTTGATCCTGCTAGTGCTGGGAACCCTTCAGATCCTGGTGACTCCCATGGATATCCTGGCACTCACCAGTTTGCATCTGAACCCCATATGCCCTGTTGTTTTTTAAAGTGTCTTCATCTGGCTACTTTTCTTTCTCTACCCGTGTAACTCAGCCTGGATAGGTTGTATTACATGATGTGACTCCTTAGAACCAAATGCTAGACTGAACCAGTTTTCACCAGCTAATGCAGTATACATGTACCCCAATTGTATAACAGGATTCTGCCTGCACATCCGTACATCTCCTCCATTTATATCAGGACTGTGTTTATTCCAAATCACGGTCCTTTGTTTGCTCTCTAGCCCTAACTGAAGGCTTATGCTATTAGTTTTGGATCCCCATGCAGTCCTTGTTATTAGTAAAGTGGCAGCATCTCTGTCCAAATTTTTAATGCTCTGGCTCACAGTCTAAAGCTGACAGCATAATATTCTTTGCCTCATTTTCAATTTATGCTAGCAAGCAGTCAAGAATTAGAAAATCATTTGCATATCTGGCTACAGATTTTTTTTTTTTAACATGTCTTTCAGACATTTAGATTTAAAGTCTATTTATGGCAAACGTGTTTTATAAATTGCTTAGTATTTTTAGCTGGTTTAGTTGATATGTAGGAACAGATATAATGAGCACTGGTACTTGCCAGTAAACCCCCCAATTTTCATTGAAGTATGAAAACTGTAACATTGCATTCTTCTTGTTTTCACCATAGTGAAGTTCTCTTGATTTACTACACTTGAATACTCTCCACTGGCACTACTGTAAATGGAATGAGAGATGGGCAGGGCCTCTGTGAAACAAGCTACTTTGTGATGGGTTGCCAGGACAATGGATTCAATGATGCAACAACTGTATTAGTGACTTCTGAGTTTTACTAAGTCAATTTTATGGACAGACATTACATTACTAGCTGAAATATTAACAGCTCCTCATTCCTTTGACACCTAGCTAGCACTGTTCAGATTGATCTGGAGATTGGGATTGAAGTGCTCAAGCCGAAACTGCTGAATAATGATACATTGAGGTCTTGTATGGTTTTACCTACCAATACACCTACTCATACGCTAACGAGGTATTATTTCGAAGACTGATATTTAAAATACAGAATTCAGTACCTGAAATGTCTATGCAATCTAAAATATATCTAAAACATTCATAAGGTTTAAGGAAAGACGTACCATATCTTCTTTAATGTACCTTTTTTCTAATGTCAGCTTCTTAAAACTGTCCTTTACTACTGTCTGATAGTAACATGTTATCGAAGAAATACTCCATTTGTAATTGTTCTACTTTTAAAATAGAATGTGTGCACTTACAAATCAGTTTCTTGTTTTAGGAATTGGGCTTTATATGTCCTAATATACTCCTTGAAGTATCTGAAAATATTTGATGAAAATCAATCATTTCTGTAACACAGTCTGCTTAGGCAGCACTGCTCTTTTGCATATGTCTGTTGTACAAGTGCCTACACAGACATTGCATTAATTGTACTGAAGTAACATATCAAGATACAAAAGACTATCAATATTTATTTAAATACATTTCCATAATCAAATGCAAGAGCTGTGGCTTCCTTACTAGCTTTCCAATAGTACAAGACAACTTTAATGTGAATAAACTAGAAGGCAGAAAATCACCGTTTGTCTTCTAACTAGATGAGAATTTGAAAAACATAATTTCTATGTAAACTGAGGCATAGAAAAGAAAATAATTACAATAATAAAAGAAAGCAGTCTATTGTTATTTTCCAGAATGTCAGTCAGATCATTGGAAACTCAATCATCTAATCCTGCCACTTTCTAAAATGCTTCCATTTTAAGAATCTTAAAGGACATCCTACTCAGAAGTATTATAAGGGGATATAATGTACTTGAAACCAGCTGATGTGCAGCCAGAGACACTTCCTAAACACAAGCAAGTATTTTGCAAACCCCTTAGCTCAGGCAAAAATGTGTTATTAGTCTGTGAACAAAGTTGCAAAGTATCTTTGAAGTATTATCAGAACTGTCATCAGTGCTACACAAGAATCCCTAAAAAATATCTTTTGAAGAATGTTACCAACAGTAAAATAAGCAATAATACCCTAAAACTTTGAACTTATTTAATAAACCAGCAGGAAACAACTGCTCTGGGTGTTTTGAGTCATTA